TGACATCCTCCTACTTCTTCAAAAGATCTTTAATTGCAGATATCGGCATAAATCCGCATTTTCAGAAGAAAACGTAAAAGAATTGTTTCTGTCAGAAATACAAAAGGCTGGAATTACAAGGGAGAGTTTCAATGTTCGGGAGAATACTATACGATCAGTATATACTGGGTAGAACGTCGATGTCGACGTCTCCCGCGCCCAGAAAAGTTTCGAATTGTTGCCTGAAGACAAAGGAAGACCAATCGGTATTCGTTATTTTACGTCGCTTCTTGTGTTTGTTCAGTGAAGTGTTCGTTATCCGAACATATGTTCGTTGTCCGATCATAAAAATCTTTCGCGAAAGTGTTCGTTAACCGATCTGTTCGTTAACCGATCACCCACTGTATTAAATTTCAGCATTTATTGGTTGACTCAGCAAAAAGTCTTCTCGGAAGGCATTCCCTCTCGGTAGGTGGTCTGTGTTGCGTATATACAAACTACAGTGGTTAGATATATACACTGTGGCCATACAACGTACGTTTGCCATATGTATTCGTTCCGGATTTCTCTGAATGATGTTGTAACAGAATTTTTTTTGTTTTTGAATGTTTTTTTTTCGATTTTCAACGTCAAGAATCAAATTTATTAAAGATTCAAGTTTTAACAAAACAAAATAAACCAAATTAAAATGTTTAATATTTCTAATAGAATTAAATATTACATTAGTAGTAGTGGTTTGACACATACTGATCACAAAATTAATTTCAGATGTAAATTTGATTAAGATTACAAAGAATTTGTGGTGTTTAATTTTCAAATTAATTTTTCAAGTTATAAATTATTTTCAGATCAAAAGTTACTTGGGTAAATTAAAATTATAAATAATTTTATTCTAAAATCGTTGTTTTTTTTTTCTTTTTAGTTTTCATACAATTTGTTTTAATATCCAAGTAAATTAAAATACGATAACTTAAAATAATATTATAAGGCAAAGTAAAATAGGGAAATAGTTTTCTTTTTAGTTTTCATATTTAGAAGAACTTTACATTTCATTTCATTTCTATAGTTTTCATAGATTATCTTGTAACAACAAGGCAAAGTTTAATATATTCTTTCTAATTATCATAAAATTAATTTGCAATAAGAATTTTTACAATTTGTTTTAATATCCAACTAAATTAAAATACAGCAACTTAAAATAATATTTTAACAATAAGACAAAGTAAAATAGAGAAATAGTTTNAAAAAATTAAAACACGACAATTGTATGAAATAATATAACACAAAAACTAAATTACCTTTGAAAAGGTTTTTATTTTTACATGAATAGATTATACAAGTTTATTTCATTTAAGCTTTTCCAGTTTTTTTCATTCACTTTAACCAAAACATGATATATTCCTGGTCTAATTTATGATATTTTATAAATTAAGATTACAAATAATTTGTCGAGTAATAGTTTTATTATCAAGACTAGAATTATTTTCTTGATAGATATTTGTCTTAATATTCGGGTACATGACAATTTGAAATAATATAACACTAATTTGACATTTTTTTAATCAAACTTATGTATGTTTTGCCTAATAAAATTATTTCAATGATTTTGAAATTCAATGACTTTATTCCAATCAAATTTCAAGTAAATTAATTTTTCAATAGAAATCTTCATCACAAAATTAATTTCAGATGTCAATTAAATTAAGATTACAAATAATTTGTGGTGTTTAATTTTCAAATTAATTTTTCAAGTTATAAATTATTTTCAGATCAAAAATTTCTTGGGTAAATTAAAATTAGAAATAATTTTATTGTCAAATCGTTTTTTTTTTCTTTTCTTTTTAGTTTTCATATTTAGAAGAACTTTACATTTCATTTCATTTCTATAGTTTTCATAGATTATCTTGTAACAACAAGGCAAAGTTTAATATATTCTTTCTAATTATCATAAAATTAATTTGCAATAAGAATTTTTACAATTTGTTTTAATATCCAACTAAATTAAAATACAGCAACTTAAAATAATATTTTAACAATAAGACAAAGTAAAATAGAGAAATAGTTCAATATAATAATTATTTAAATTATATTTGTTACTTATTTATTAAATATCACAAAGAAAACAATGCTTTTATAATACAGTGGTACCTCAGGATACGAAATTAATCCGTTCCGAAACTGAGATCGTATCATGAAAATGTCGTAAGGTGGATCATCTTTTCCCATACGGTTCATGTAAAACCAAATAATTCGTTCCAACGCGAAAAACATACTCAAATTAAAGCCAAGTAATACATTAAAAAAAATAACTGTAGTAAGAAAAACAAATGAAAAATGCGAACTAATGTAACGTCGTATGGTGAGTTTTTGTTCGTATCGTGGAGCAAAAATATGTTCGAATTTCATGTCGTATCCTGAAAATTTCGTA